TATTTCGGCTGTTGCTACGGGCATTATGAAACAGTTGTCAAGCAAAATATCCAAGCATGACACGACAATAGCTCTGTCAAGGGCTAAAGTAAATACTATTACCGATCTTGTCTCAAAGGCTTTGCGTGACCGTAAAATTGACGACGTAGAATTCTCGCTTATCTTAGCCGAAGAGGAAAAGTACGAGAAATTAAAGACGGACATCAGGAACAAAAAAACAGTCGTAAAAGATCTTTCCGAGGAATCTCGCAAAAAGATCTTCCAGGAGGCAAAAGAAGAGCTTCAAAGAAAGCTCGCTCAGTAAATATTTGCTTTGAAAAAAGCGAGACAGGGTTTCGTTTACATATCGAACGCCGTTCATATGCAAATTAATTTCACAAATGTGAAACGTTTTCACAAATGTGAAAGAAAATTGTGAAGGTTTTGATTGGCTGAAAACATGTGACGTAATCAACGTTTTATGCCATAAGATTCACTATCTTCTTGGAATCCATCCTAACAGGGGGTGGTTGGGGTCTATTTCATGGAATATTTCGTAGATTACGTCAGGGTAATAAGGAATGTCCTTATCCAGACGACAAAACATCCACTCGGCTCTTGTCATATCAGAAACCTCAGGAATAGGGTCACCGGTAATTTCAGACAAAAGATAGGGAATAGCTTYGTAATATTTCCCTAGCTTTAATTTTTTCAATGTCTTCCGTAGACTTTGTGGGGTTGGCTCTTCTAAGTGGTCTATGATTTTCTCCTTTACTTCGTTGTCTAAATATACCGGTCGAAGACCTTGGATATGACTCATCCAGTCCCTAAAGTATTTGATCCTCTTGTATGGGGTCTTCTTACGGCCTCCATTGGCGTAATATTGCTCTTTGGTAGCATTTGGTACGGCATTACGAACATTCTTACCACACTCGTAACACTGTGCTGACGTGTCATCTTCTATTTGCATTTTCTTACCACAACAAATATACTTATTTGGTTTAGTGGGTTTAAACTTAGGTTTCAGGCACTTTATACAGAAGTCGTAGATAAACTCTTTACATTCGTGCATCGTATATAAAACAAATATGTTAACACAGCAGCAGTAAGGAAATCACCGCGTAACATATAACGGAACACGGGTCATTCCCGCTGGAGCCCTATGCTACTTGGCGCGGGTATTACCCCGGGCTCCCGGTACCCCCTCCGCGAGTCCCCCTTACTGCTGCTGTTGAGAATTCAAAATATTGTTTGTTTTTTTTTTTGTTTTTGTAAAAAATATATTTGGTCTCCTTCAGGGTTTCACGCGCTGTGCGCAGATTATGTTAGGGAAGGGTCGAGAAAAGGGCTGGGAAGGATTTTAGCGCGCAGAGGCTTCTGGTTATTTTTATCAGTTTGGGACGCTTTCTACGTAACGTCCCAGATACCTTTGCACGCGCGCTCTTCAGAAAGTGAGCGATACCAATCACGTGACATACTTTTAACTGGACGTAAAAAGGGGACTTTTTTACTTTGCGCTTTTGTTATGCCATAGGCCTTTTAAAAGTTCGTTAAACATGATGCATTGTGGTCTAGCTTGAGTACAGTAATGCACCAGATAAGGCACGATGAAAACGAGTTGTTTTTACCGACGGGATAGACCACAACGCACCATGTTTTTATCCTAGAAAAGTTCTAAAGTTTATAAATAGGAATACGTGGTACTGGATCTCGGAACTTTTGAATCCAGGACCCACAGTTTACAAATTTGTAACCTGGATCTATACCCTTTCCACAAATGTTATCCCTGGAGAGTCTAGAGCCCGCAATTCCTTAAAATTGTAATGGTAGTACAGCTTAACGGTTAGCYAAAGACATATTTAAGTTCATCTGCATGCATTTTTAAAAGTAGTTCCTCTTTTAATATTAATATCTTATCTATTTTATATCTATTTCTTTTTGTATTCATTTTATTTTATATTTTATTTCATGTAATTAATTTTATCACAGGTATCCCATAGTCCTCCAATGACTCCATAGTCTTCTCATCCATCAAGAGCATACGCACACTTTATTCTATGCGCACATGAACATAGATGCTTGACCACCAAACGCACGACACTTGGTGGAGTAACGCAATCCCTAAAGTAAAAAAAAACCAAAGTTGTTGACGCCGCATTTGTTATATAGTTTTGCCTGATATTGTACCGAGCGATATGATGTTTGGGCTTTGCTTGTATATCAAATCTCTTCTCAATAACTGCCCATTGAGTATTGGCCACCTTCCTTCCTACTGCCCCGGTTCTATTATGCTTGCGGTTAATTGTGTCTTAAAAGCCAATGTAAAAAAAACCCAAGTCTTTGTGTTATCTGTGCAGTTACAGGCTTATTCGTGTACGTTCTTGTAAACTGCGCAAAAGAGAAAAAACGGAAAGAAAATTATATGGAAACACATCCTTGAAAGTGGCATATTGAGCAAGGCACGACCCGCTTTTTGTTCAAACATTCTCGATAGATACTTGTGTTGCTACACGATTCACATACAGAAAAAAACTCTTTTTTGTCTTTAACCGGGATAGTTAAAAATGTCGCGAAAGGAACATTACAAAATGGATACTTAAAACCAAGGAATTAGTATACCAGAATTGAGAAAATCTATGGCATCTCTGAATTCTGAGAAGCACGACGAGTTCATAAACATTTGATAATTAAGACATTTAAGTCCGGTCCATCCCCCAGGAAGATTAAACAAGAATTACACTTAAAATGCAGTTCCTATTGCACTTCAAACACTTTTGAGACTATAATCATAAATGACGATAGCTCTGTATTGTTTGAGCTCTCCCGCGGCCGCCATTATCAAGCAATATACCCTCGACATTGGGTATCGTATACTAGAGTCATTATTGACTACCACTATTGGTGTATTGGTTTGTTTCCTTCCTGACCAATGGTTAGTCATTCACCACACGGTTGATTCTCTTGTATAGTGTTTTTTTAACATATAACGGAAGTCAGTACTGGTGACTGTCTGAAACCGCATTGATCGTTTGGTACGATTTTTTTAAATATTTCTATCAAATCGAACTTAATAGTGTGGAAATATAACCTTGGCTACAATGGAATAAATAATGATTAAAAAGGTATCGATGTTTGGTTAATACGCGTCATAAAAACAAAGTTATATAACAGCAATTATAGAGGAATTGGGYGTGTCATTCATCATGAACTTGAAGAATGTACTATCCTATGTCATGAGTAGGAGAGGTCGTACGAAGAGTACCTAAAATCATGTAATGAATATTTTCATGGTAGGATAGCACAGGAAACGATGGACAAGAAATGAGTTATTTTGCTCCTTTAAATTAACTCTTCAGATCTTGTCTAMTCTATCCACTCTAGCATGTTCTATAATCATTATGCTTCAGACACAATTCACCTTTTTGTGGATTTTTTATTACACGTTAGATTGTACCACGACGTACTTAAATGTTACTAAACGCATCTCTCCAAGTCTTTCCGCCATTAACGTCACAAACAAGCAAGCGTGGAAATCAACCCTTGACAAGTACATAGTCATGAATAACAAAGCGCTAATAAAACAAGCCGGCCTCTGAAGCCGTTGACTTATCTTTCAGATCTGTTTACCTCTTTCAACGTGTAATTTGGGTGTGTCATTAAAACGGAGGTAATTAGATCGACGGTGAAGGCAAATGCTTTCATCAATAAAATTACCTCCCGTCTTTTTTGACTGTTAGCTACGCGTAAAGCAATAACACTCAAGCCCCCAGGAAACGTTACATAAGAACTAACCAACATTTAGCTACCGTTTACTCTTGAAACACTTATAATTTGTCTACACTAACAATCATAAATCAGCATTGGTCCCTTTTTTACATGCTACGAGATATTGTACTCCGGATGTTAACCACCATTATTGCTTTGTACCAGAGGTCTTCCTAAGTACTCCTAATTACTAGTGGGGTGCATGTTAATGGTCCTTGATGTCCTTACCGAGTGTGTCTATTAAGATAATACTAATTCAACCCGATGAAGACAAAGTTTCCGTCGTAGAACATAAGTGCATATTGACGTTTTTTCTTTTGATATTCGTTGTATTTTTGTACGAGACATCGCGAAGAACTTAATCGACTCTTGACGAAACTTCTTGTACATCGTGCTTCATGCTTTACTTAGAACCAGCGTTCGATATATATTCCCAAAAACGTTCCCTTGGAAATCATATTATTTTCTAACATCCTAATAAAAGCCTGTAATAACTTTCTTTCTCTAAGGTAATTAATATTTTTTTACTAATATTTTTAGTGTTTTGTTATTCGTTGCGGTTGTTGGACACACGTTTTCTAGCGCACGTAAACCCATTTCAAACACAAATTTATAATTAATAATACATGGAATGTTTTTCGTGACTTTAGTAAAACGTTCTAATGTCATTAAACTTGAAGTAGGTTTTCTGGTTGTTGAGAGGGTAAACCAGACACGCAGACGGGGTTTTTTGATCAAAGTTGTTAGCCTACCAGTTATGTATTCTCCTCTAATTGGAGAGCTCACACAGTTACAGAGTACACTACCGAGGGTTCATTAGCTCGAGTTAACAGGTTTATCACCAAGGTTTAAAATTTATCACGAAAGAGTAGGAAATAGGAGTTATTTATTGGGTAAGGTGTGGCCTTGATGAGGTAATTTAAAATATACATCGTAAATCTAATTATTTAATCACCCATATAACAAGTCAAAAATGAATTCCTTAGGAGCTCAGGTATTCCAGTCCCCGACTCTTACGATCCTTCATCTTCCAATATAAACGCCGAAAACAAAATTTACAGCTAACTTATCTATCGTAAGTAACGGTAGTTATGCCCTTAATTACTCCAAGGGACAATTCAAGAGAATTATATCCTCAAGAATGTCTTCAAATGCTTCGTAATTACCTAGGAATCTTCACAAGGAGTACATAGGTGTCTGTTTTTAACGCTGATAAACACGGTCACCATGCAAGTGGTTTTATAAATATTTAAAACTTGGTATGTTCATTGACTGGTGCATGTTCTGGATGAATTAACGGACATGACTTCCAAAAAATCAACGCGGGCTAGACAGATTTGATCAGGCGCAACATCTTGTATATTTATAACTTTTCTAGATAGTTGTCATTAAAAGAAGAACGTGCATGCCTACATGCCTACACGCCTACATACACACACACATATATACATATATTTCAGATATCTAATGAGAATTTAATAATTATTTTTATATATAAATCTTGTAATATAGCAGGTGTTAACTTGGCACCCATCCTAAATGCTGTAAATATTAATCAAGCAATACCGGAAGACGAATAAATTGACTCAGTCAATTCAAACCACATTCTTATAGATTTTCCAAAAAGTAGAGAACGTTTGAATATGTAATTAACAACATTATTATTAACTTTTTGTTAAACAGCCCTTATACGCTTGCGAATCCATGTAGGACCAATACATACACACACATATACATATAGTTTTGATGATAGGCGATTAATATATGAGCCTCTTAAGATAATCATTGACTAACCATGTTGGCTTAACATCTAGTTTCATTGAACCGGTCAGAAAGTTTGCTAGTGCTAAAAGAAAGCTGGCTAAAACAAGCTTGGAAATTTAACGAGATTAAACGTGTCCTTAAAAATATTAGAATCGCGGCAATTATATCACGCAGGCGCAAGAGTTTCTGATTTAAGAAAGAAGTGCTCGTGCAAGTTTTTTCGTGTTTTTTAAGCAAAGAGTMTAACGCCTCCCACCTAGTTACCGTCAGCTACCATTATTTTTTTTTAACACTGAACAAAAAAGACTGCATTTTCTATCCAAAGAATATATTTTATTTATTTATTTTTTTTTTTGTTAGAAATATTTACGAGTGGGAGTACTTATAATGAGGAAGTTAGAGTTAGGTGGATTGAAATAATCTTTTCCTAATGAGTAGTGCAATTCATTTTTAGCTTGAAATGAAGTATATGGGTTTTATACGTTTGTTYATTGAGAAGATTATGAACTGAGCATTCGTCATAATTTAAATATAGTTTTCGTCGTAAGAATAACGAATCAAAACAAGCTGGGGTTTTTTTCGTGTTTTTAACGCGTGGATTTGCGAGAGTTCGCGAAGAATGACATGAAGTGATTCGTGTTCATTGCCTCAGGCAACCTGCTCTCTACAAAGTGCAAAGCAAATGAACCGTGTTTTTAGCTTAAGCATTATGTAAAGTCATCGATCATTCTATGGTCTAACGCACACTTTGATCCATRGTCTAACACACAACCCGCACCATGCCAATAGCATCAATATCAATGAAAACATGGGCAAAGCTTTTGAGATGTTTGTAATCAAAATTATCATAGTTTGGTATAAAAGTGCTTCAACGTGTAAGATCTCAAAGCTTCTGGACAAAACCATTTAGCATCGATTAAAGTCTTAACTGGGATTAGCACGTCTTTTAGAAGGATTAACATGAGCACCTATAAACAATGTCCGTCTCTCAGACCTCTTCACGAAATAGTATCAACAACAGTTCATAAGTATTAAGCGATCACCACAACTCTTTTAAAACTACATATCAGGGTATCATCAGAGTAAATTTCGCTCTCCTAAAAGTTTTCAAAAAACACCATTATAGTCTAGTCAATACAAGAGAACAAACAGGTATTTCTTTGTGTTGATAAATTTGAATATAAAATGGTATTAAAAAAGGTGGGATTTTAGTTGCACGTTTCTTTGACACTCTTGCTCAATCCCTGCAGCTTTTTGACAGCCACTTTTCTTTTTACTGGTAGGACGTACTTAACTATTGTTTAAAGGGGCCTTTTAGTGAAGTTAGTGTAAAAACAAAGACAAGAAATGACAGGTACTATTCTTGTCTGGTTTTGCATTATTCAAAGCATATTACTTCTCATTCACAGCATCTCTCTGTCAAATTCGTTCCATCTTGGCGGGAGAACTTGATGAGTAAAGCGTGGTAGCAACTCATCCAGACACTGGATGCCAGTGTTAAAAAAACTCGTCTTTTTCATAATTAGATCAAAAAAGACAAAACAAAACTTGTGAGTTAACTAAGTTTAACTTTGTGGGGGGTTGTAAAAGTGTCCCAAGAATAGACAGCTCGCCTTTTTGTTTTATACGAAGTTGTTCAAACTAATTACCCTACTTTTTGCCATCCATGATATGCCGCTAGTATATTTTTATAGTAAATGTCCTAGAACTGACCACGTTTGATTAACCCTAGCCTTGTAAGCATGCGGTTAGCTTGTTTAAGATCAGTGGTGTCATATGGAAGGATACACTCAAGAAGAAAAGGGCTATTGGGGTATCCTTTACAGTCAACACTCAATATGTCTGATATTACAAGCACTTCATCGAGTATCAAGGAACCATTTAAACACGATTTGTTCGATTATGGCCAATTCTGCTGAAAAGGAGTTTATGTTGGAGTAGGTTACCCCGTCAGTATGTTAACAATTAACAAACACCACATTCTCATCAATGAACATATTATTGTTTTTTATTTTTATTTGCTGTAAGGTGATGCCTGGGGTTAATGTTTTTCATTGTGCTAATCGGAGACACCATGTCGGCACTTGGAAACTTCTTAAAAACAATACCAAACAGCTTAATACTCAAGACAAGTGGATTATAATACGAGTGTGCACTTAATGCCGAGTATTTGTACCTCATGCATGCGTTATGTAATGCAACTAACTTCAGTTACTATATCTGCATATACTGCACGCTAAACATCTCTAGAAATTATCCTGTGAGGGAATTTTAGCTGGCGAGGTCGTGACGTCAAGGGTGCTGCGTCATGATTACAAGCAAGCTCGTCATGCAAGACTCAAAATACGCAAGTTGAAGGGATACCGGAAATCCTGGCTGGAGCCGAACGTCAAGGTCAGCAATATATAAAAAAAAGGACTTTATTAACTTATTGATGACACGAAATAAGAAAATGCGGAGCTAAATTCCGAAGCATGATAATCTGGTACACGTTAATTAACCTATATATATCTACATGCTTGTACTGTTGGAATGTCATCTATTTTTACTCATTGTTGGTAGTAATCTTATTAGTGAACTTCTCTATGTAAACCCCTCTTACTTTCTCTTAATACAAGATATTAACCTCACATTAGGAATATAAAAAGTAGGATGACAAATCTAATACCGAACATTGATATATGAATCAGGGCCCGGTTCTGACGAAGGGTGGATAGCGCTATCCGGCGGATTAATCCTTATCCAGTGGATAAGTCGATGCTGGAATCCAATAAGTTTATCCACTGGATAAGATTTATCCGTCGGATAGCGCAGTCCAGGCTTCGTACAACCGGGCCCAGTAGGTGCTTGGAAGAAACAGGGCAAGCAGAAAACCTGATACTCAGTAGAAAAACTAGGGTGCGTCATAGCGTACTGACCAGCAGCCCTTAGAGAGCATTATTTTCAAATGGTAGCAGTAACAGTAAAAGCAGCAGTACTGAGTAGCAGCAGGAGTAGCAGCAGTAATAATAATAATAATWTTTTTTTTTTTTAATTTTTAACATCTAATAATTTTTTAATAATAATAATTGATAATAAGAAATAAATATTTGCAAGATCATAATTTGTTAAGACTAATCGAAGTGTAGATTATTTGTAAAAATTTCAAATATTGATACTAAATAGATAATATTCTTAAAATAATAATAATAAATTTATTTACATTGTGCAAATTTACATGTTACATAATATGATCAAATGCGCAGCAGCAGCAGCAGCAGCAGCAGCAGCAAGAGCAGCCGCAGCAATATCAGTGTTGGATAGTTATTTAGTAATGATAGCAGATCTAGCATAAAGAATCCTTAAATCTGCAACATGCAATATCATTAGTGATAATCAGCAATATTAGTAATGCGATAGTAGTATCAAAACACAGCAGCGATACTAGTGGTCTACAGCAACCAGAAGGGTGCATGCAGGCATTCAGGTCTAGCAGCAGAACTGATAGTAAAGAAGCCGCATACATTTGCATTAAAAACCAACTCCTTGAAAAATATATAAGAATGCCCGCCTTACACAGCTAGATATTTATCAATTAAAAGAATCCTTCCCTTTTAATCAGTAAGCGAATTGTAAATCTATTTATTTTCTATTATGACAGGTTTCTAGAGAAAAGTAACAATAAATCTATTGTCGTTCAAGTTAAAACACGGTAGCAATTTAATAAATAAATAGTCATGAATAAACTACTTAAATAGCACTTTCATAAATGGGGCATTGGAGTAAAGTATCCCAACAAAAACATTGAATTTGTCTTCAATAAAACCAACCCCGATTTTAGCCCCAGGTGTCCTCTAATGTGGCCAGGTAAAAACATATTAATCTCGATCATGTCTTGTAAACCTTTCGAACGAGCCATTTATCAATCTGTAGCTTGTAAAAAGAGGTGTGTTTGGATCATTTGATTGTGAATGTCAAGGCGATGCTTCAAGGCATATACCATTTTGTATAATAAATTGTACTTTAAGGTAGCTTTTAGCGTTTTAAAAGACAAGCCGGCTCTTCCTAGTACAAAAGAATGTTTTCAAGGCTATGGGTTCGTTTTCAATCCTTGCCTGGCAACTACCACCATGTTTCTTTGAAGTAACGTTATTTTACCAAGTATATTTTTAGGGCAATTAAACTCATATCCTTTTTCAACCCAAGGCTCTAAGAAAGAGTGGCTTTTACTGATTCTACACAGAAATTGTGGATAGCTTTTTAGATACACTGCACTTAAAGGATTTAGTATAAAATTGAAGTTGTTTTTAAGGTTCAATTAAAAATTCCACGCCTTATCACTTAACAAAACCGCAAAACGTTCCCTGAAGCAAAACTAAAGAAACATTTTGTTACATACATTGTTTTCTTTACTTAGTCTTAAAAGCTTTGGTCAACACAGTTTAAAGTGGCTTTGTAATAATTTAATATCTGGTTTGTCAGAGGTTTTTGCGCGATAGAAGTAAATGATAAGTGATCATTTAGAGTCAGGAAGGATCAAGCGAACAAAGACCTACATTATATATATCGGCCTGTAAATACGGCTTTTGCCATTAGTCTAATAAGACAGCTCATTTATTTTCTCCAGCCGTTTTCAAAGACATTTTGCCAATTCAACTACTTACATTGAGTTCATGCCCATGAGTTTGGCTCTCAGCAACCCACTCAACTACTTACTCGAAAAGTCATTCATATACTCACACGAAACCTCACCAAACTGTCTCGCATTGTCAGCAACACATACAGTCGTTATAGAAATCAAGTGGCCAGTAGATTTTAGCATTGTGAAAACTTCACAGTCAAAGGCAAAGTTGACGGGCCCTATTSATATCACGATAATAGTTTTCTCTTATGATAACTCCGAGAATTCATTCACTGCGATAATCTTTAAGACATCGATCAGGCTTCCATAAAAATTGCTCGGATCTTGACCACTAAAAAGAGATTTATCTTTCCCGGGAAAGGAAGAGATGCATAATCTTTGCGAGTAATTTCCTATTTTAAAACATTAGACTGTGTGCTATTTAAACTCCTTATCTATTTAACAAGCGACTAATATTTTACCAATGCTTAATATAAAGAGACAGGTTTGATCAGCCTCGTGAAAGGCCTCCCACATTGTCTCCTGGTAAATAAACCATCATGTATTTTTCAATTTTCAGATGCTCTGATTCTGCCCAAATCCTCCTTACACTTGTCACATAGCAAATATTCCCCCCGTCTTATCCCGATTAGGTAATGTGGTTTTTAGGGATTATGGTTGTCAAGCCCTATTATGATCAGAAATTATTCTAAATTTTCACAAAGTACACAGAACTAACAATGATTAAAATAATTTTTCCCTAGAGATGTTTTTAGAAGTTGTCTTTGATAATTAGCAGATTAATCAAGACAAATTGAATAAGTACAAACTTACGTTACAAAATAATCCGCCCTTGGCCTTGGAGGCCTGGAGGTCTGAAAAGGAAAAGTGAATGGCGACTTGTCAACGTCCGAGAAAGAAAAAAAGAAAAAAAATCCTAAAAACGCGGTTTAAAACTTGTCCTCCTAGAATTCATGAGCTTCATTGCCAACAGAAACCCTAGAAAATACCGCAAGTCTTTATTACTTGATGGGTATACTTTTTTTTTTTTTTTTCCTTCAGGACTTAACAGAACAAGGGCAAGATCAGTGAGTACTCCTAAAACCAAGTACGAGTAACAAAACCAGACAAGGTTTCTCGTGGAGGCACTTCAGAAGAAGAATCAGGGCAAGAGGTGCTCGAGGAGATGATTTCTAATGTCGGTTTGATTATCTTGCTTGGAATAAAAACCAAGATAGAAAGTAAAGTATATATTCATGTTAAAGATCATTTGACGATCAAGGGTAATAAAATAGGGGTCTCCCCGCGAAAGGTGCAGCAGCTTCAATCATACAAGGAATATTTTTGTGATAAGGATACTGAACATTTTAGACCTCAAACACTTGAGCCCAAGTTTCTGTTTATTAGATATGGTAGTACACTGATGAAGTCCTCCAGAAAAACTGTGTGTAACTAAATTAGACAAGGAGTCCTTTCATGAACGTACTTAGGGAGAAGTAGAGGGCAAGAGTGTACTTAGAGGCTGTTAGGTTGTTTTACTTGAGAGGGATGTCTGTGTAAAGTCATTTCTTGACTGTCTGCATGGACTTGATCAATCTGACAATCAGTTTAGAGGGCATTTTTGCGCGTTCAACTCGACACTGAGCAACTCGACTAAAGTATTTTGAATGTTAGGATCGGTGAGATCTGAGGACTGATTGCTAATAGAATTTGTTCGTTATATTTTGGCAATTCCATTCACCGAAGGAGGTCTAGATCTGGTCGGATGGAAGCCGACGCGCGAAGGAGTGGTAAAAATTTGAGGTACACCGCCGTCAAGAAGGATGTACGTTTGAATGACCCTAGACTGGTTCTTTACAGGTACTATTCATCCACTTGAGTCACGAGTCACAAAATAACACTATTTTGGTATATACTGTACACTCCGAACCTTGTAATACCTCCACGGTCGAAATGAACCCAATATTTTTCATTATCGATCACCCTGTCACTGAGGTCGAGCAATGAAAAAAGGCATTTTTTTCTTGCACGTTTGTCGAGAGTATTAAAATTTWAAAAAAAATTGTATTCGCTTCATAGGGTAAAAATACACGGGTTAAGTTAAGTTAAAACTGACACATATAATGAGCTATAGCCATCGTTAACTTCATAGGAAATCGATGAAGTGTCAATCTAGAAGAGCAAGCGCTCAGCGGAGGTGAACCGCGCCATTGCTAACAACGTAGACTGATCTGTTTTAACTCATTTCTTGTAATCATAATACGACAAACATTTGCTTGCTAGCGGATTAAAATATTAAAATTAAATAGGGTTTTGAGAACAATAGTAAAGTCTAGAGGTGAACAAGTTAGTGGGATTCTATTCAAGTTTGGCATTTTTATCAGGGTAAAATGCTGCCCATTTTTGGATACGCTTGATGCAGAGTATCGAAAACAACAGATGCTGTAGGTAGATATCCTACAATGAAACTAAGATGTTAAGCGATTTTGAATAATACAGAATGCAGCGCTGAAATAAACGCTTGATTGAAAAAAAACTGTCATCCATTTGATGTCATACACATCCATCTACACTAACTTTCCACATCTACAGCGAGTCGTAAATACATTGTTCCATAATTACAGAGATATCGATATCGAAATAGAACATCCCCTAAAAGAGGTTCAGGTGTTTTTGATGGGAAATTGAGCCATTTCCCAAAGGTCTGAAGCTCCGATATTAGCCAAGTCCCAAAGTCATCCGATTGTTTACTCACAGTCTATTTTGTCTTCATTATAATGGCAAGAAAATGAAACGATGAAGCTATAGTTTGTTAAGCACTTTTCGGTGGGTATTTTATCTCATCAGATATCCTGACTACGTGGAGTAAGGTTTCCTTAAGACAACAAACCATATTGGAAATGACCAAACCTGATATGCCTACCAAAGACGAGAAATAGAATAGSAAGTCTATTTCTCCGGATTACGTTTCCGGATTAAGGTTCATTTTGTCTCTATTTCTCGACGGATCGAATCTTGCCTTTGAAAACTGTAATCAGTAAGGCACGGATATCAGTTTGGGTATAGTCAATTCTTATTCGTTTATGAATGTCCTGTGAAAGTTGATCCACGCGTGGAGTGGTTTAAGATGCATTTGTAAAAGAGAAATAAGGCTGTTAAGAACAAGATTTAGCTTTTGAACATCCGATGGATTTCGTGATCGAGTTAGGAAGTCTAAAAGCTTCATTTGCATCATAAAAAACAACGTTCATTGTCAGTCACAGAAACCCAAACTAAGAACTCTAGTCAAAGATAAAAATGAAAAAAAATTGGTTGTATAAAGGTAGTTAAGTATGTAGATGGTATATTTATAATACAGTAATACGAATCATTACAAAAAAAACAAAAAAAAAAACCGACAAAAACGAATCATTAACACGACCACTCGGTCAACCAAGTCGTACATTAAAACCCCATCGTTGTGTTTTACACCTCTAAACTATTCAAATTTGCTCATATTCACACATTTTTTCTTAGAGGGAGCRAAAAATACTATGACAATGGAATGGGACAAGGAACATTTTCCTTCTGGAGCCTTCAGGCCAAAAACAGTGAACCAGCTGTGTAGTGTTGCAATCGCCTTCGCTGTGCTACCACACATTTTCTCGTTAAATTTCTTTGGAAAATGTTCTTTAAAATCCTTCAATAAAATAAAAGATTATAAATAATAACCCTAATTTAAAATTCTTTCATGGACGAAATAAGGTAGAGCTATTGTTCAATTCAGACTTGAAGTCAATGGTTTTCCTTTCACTAAAGACAAAAAAAACACATCAATTAGGCACTTGTTTCATTTAAATTATATAACGACAAAGTTCCTCCACTTTTGCCAAACAAGAACAAGGAATTTGTTCACCTGGTTTCGCATTTTTAGACGCAAATTTGAATTTTTTGAGAGCCAACTCCTAGGCCTTTTCATCATTGTTGAGCGATCTTGGACTCTTGGCGGATACTGGAAATGGACTGGACATAGAAATATGGTTTACTGCCGCAGTAACCTACAGCGGCTGTAGACCAAGTTGAACACCATTAAAAATCTTATTAAAAAGAAAATAAACTAGCCCATGAAGGGGGTCCGTCAAAAGCCATGATAACTAAAAGCATGCAGAACTCACTAAAGTCAAGGTTGAGCATTTGATAAAAGAGAGTGAGTGCATTTAGAATGACTGGCAGTCCAAAAAACTATATTATTCGTCTTAACACTAACAATATATAGAAAAGCCTCTTTAAGAGAAGTCAATGATTGCTTAGGGCTTCCACTGTTTTTCCTGTCCCTATTCTATTATTTCAGTTCTTTAACGTCCAGGAAAGTCCTTTAGCTACCACTAGGCACTTTAAAAGCATTAATACCTATTAACCTATTGGGGATAGTATTAATCATACTTATCATTTCTGATAATTTTTTACTTGCTCTGAGGTATTAACCAACGATTCTCGACCCATAATTCATTTATGTTCTAAACATCAAATCTCGAATAAATATAGATACCTGCCCAACTAAAGCAACATAAAGACTCAAAGCTTCGATTCATAAATTGAACGTATCAAACTACATTATAATAATCCTATTGACTAAGTGACTCCATTAAGGCTAATCTACTCATACTAAAAGATTCTTGGACTACTTGGGAACAACAGTCAATCGTTTCCAAGTCCACTTGTTTTCTTGCTGTGATTGTATATTTGTATATATATAGCCCTACCCTCAGTAACGATTAGACCTTATATCTGTATACATCTGTATGCATATGGTCAAGTAAAATATCTCAACAAATCAGTTGTTTCTCCTTAAGCAGAACGGGACATTTCGATCGTAAAACTTATATAAAATGAATTTCAATTGGTAAGATTTCTTCCGATTCGAATATATATATATATATATATATTCATATGTGTATGTGTAGAAGAAGGCCGTTAAGGACCGTGTGTTATAATAAGAGTAGGCGGGTTTTCTTGAACCTTTTTTGGTCGTTCTAGTGGAGGGGCTTCAGTTTTAATAGAATGCACAGTGGAAGCCATCGAAAGCTCTCACCCTAATGTCTTGACGTCCAGCAAATTCCTTTCAAACTTGAGTTCAACAAACTCTTGGAGAGCATAAAGGTTTATTCTAAATAACTGCTTTGAACAATGCTTAAGGACCTTCAAATTGATTCAACCACATTGAGCACATGGAGATTTAAGTTTAAAGGACTTGGGTTCTGCACTATACCGTTAAAAAGCAAGTCCTCCAAAGCGGTGCTTCTGTAGTACCTTGCGGGATGTCTTTGGAGAATAAAGGGTATTTAGAAATTTGGTGCAATGTTTTTATAGAATTAACACTGAAAGGACCGCTGGAAAAATCTGTTTTTAGTGTTTGGAAAATCAACAGATACTCAAGATGTCTGGTTTTAGCAGTTTTACGGGGGATCTTGAACTAAACTCAATAATGTGAAAACTTGTGAAGAGGAAGAAGAAAACTAGAATCCTAAGAATCTTATAGGCTAATACTGAACTGAAAGTGGATTTCTTCAAATTTCGCCTCAAATTTAAAATTTGGTCAACCAAATAAATAATAAATAAAAAAGGATTCACTTTACCATAGCATGAAGAACGTTTATTACTATTACAAATATTTTCTGACTTCCGGCCCGTGTGAGACTGACCCGAGAAAAATACTTGAAAATTTTAAGATAGAAAAAATCCGATGAGAGCAAAACTACAAGAGATTCAATGGCAACGAAAATATTTATGCTTTCAAATTCTAATGCGTAAATTTTGCACTTGAAATTCTTAATATCGATATTAAACATAGACAAGAAAAAATTCGAGAGATACAGGGATATATATAAAGAGGTAAAAAGAAGTCTTGACAAAAAATCATAATTCAAGGCCTACGTCTGAGTACTTTTTAGAGGTGTCTCTTTTCAAAAGAGCTTTTTTYTTTTTTTTTTTTTGCTATAAACTTGAAAAATCATGAAGTTCGTTTCGTATGAAACTAGGAGAAGCTAGAAACATTATCAGTATGGTTGGAATAACATGTTAATTTGATTATTGCTTCTATCCGAATTTTTGGGTCGCAGGCCTTAAATTAATTATCTTTATTGCAAGCTTTGGGGAATCAAGGGTGGGATGGCGGTATTACGCTAGATTCTGATCACATTGGGGTGTCAGGTTCAATTAGGTCTCTTCCTTGATTCAAGGGTTTTTCTGCGGGTTCTCTGATTCTCCTCCCGCCGCAAAAGCGAAACATAAGGTTGTTTCAGGGTTCGATAACATTGATGTTTGGCTTTATAGTTTGACGGGTTAAGACTGATGTTTGATATTGCTCAAAGTGATTAACTCAATCGAAACATATAGTATATATATCAAGTATATACTTCTTAATTTTTAAAAGAAAATTTGTTCAGTTTTTAGTCTTATCTCCCGTATGAATGACTTTAATAAACTTTACTGATACAACACATTATGTTAACTTAATTATGACTGCCTTTACTGATTTGAACGAGAACACTGTCACAACAGAAAGAAAGTCGAGTAGATCGACACATATTTAATTCGTTTACGCCGTAAGTATGAGATATCTCAAAGAATATCGAAGCTTAGGAAATAGAGAACAAAAATAAAGCAATGGTGAACTAGACGCTCAGTGGCAACAATCATGACAGCAAAATTATCTCGATGAAGCTTGTCGGGAAAATGTTTGAAGGGAAGTGACAATAAAAGTTTGGTAAACGTGATCCATACCCCATGCGACTACACCATGCACCGTAGACGGTAATCGAGCAAGATTTCTTCAACATTAGTTTCCCTGAATAGGATTTTGTAAAGTACTAAGTGGTGCTTGGTTTAAGACACTCTTTAATACTCCCTAATACTATAATAAAGAAAAATACAGGTCAATCACCATTAAACCTGTAAATCCCCTTGGTAGTGTAGTATTAAAGCTGAAATAGACAACAGGGACAATGAAAAAAAAAAACACATTTTATTGATCAATAAAGAGATATATTTTACAATGACTGATATATGTATGTCTAACCCGGCAAGACCGACTCTCATCAATATGCAGTATTCAAAGTATTCGTAAATTCAAGACGGTACGGAACTAAATAAAGGAAGTTAAGCTCGTGTTTGCTTAACTCCTTAAAAGATTACCGTCGTTGCCGAAGAGTCCTAAAGAAGTTCAAATCAAAGTTATTGTCCTTGTATTCGTTCAATATTCACTAAGTCAAACACGTTCAATTGCAGTTTACAAAATCTCGACTTACGCCTTTTTTATCTCTTTTTTCAAGGAAAGGACCTTCGGTTTTGATCTTTTTGAAGCACAAGGCTAGCGCTCTTAAGCAAACAATTCAAGTGAGAAAAGAGGTGGTATTTGTGTAGAAACAACAAAATGTCAATAAATTTCACAACTGACATGGAACACAGTTAATCAAGTCAATCTTTATGTAAGCGCTTTAAGACCTTGAGAGGGAAAGTCGCCTACTTTGTATTTGGTTTATTGTTTTATGTAATCTATTAACACACTGGAAAATACAGAAACACACTCACACAATGATTGAAAAGCAAGCTTAACGACCGGTTTTACAAAACAGTGCTTGTTATCAATTGAGGTGTTTGTCGGGGAAATCAGTAGAAAAGAAAAATAAATGTCATAACATCAAAAATATGTGCGCTTCCAAAACAAACGATTAAAGAAATTGCTGCTCTTCGCCTTAGATTTTACTATTAAGAAAGAATTTGTCTAAATGAAGATTTAAAAGTGCCACTTCCTTGACTTTTATCTCTTTAATGACGCTCAGAATTGAAGAACTTGGTCCTACAAGTTTTATAAGAGGATTTGCTCGACTCTCGACTTTATGGAAGTGGAGAGCAAAGGAAAACAAAGAATGTTTCACTTTATGGTTAAAAGCACAATAAAAGGCAGTCATCGTTTTAAGGCTTTAAAAGTGAGTTTAAACCCAAGAAAACTGAATGGATTAATTTTAATGTCTTAATTTTTGGGAGACTCAGTTTAAGTAAGCCTATTTTTTGGTTTACAGCTGCAAATCCAACTTTTAGTTTATTTAAAGATTCAAATGACAAGTCCCAAGAACTCTGAAAATTCTGCTCATTATTTTGATTCTGTTTTGACTAATGAGAAAATTTTTCCCCTAAATGGGACTTATTGGAATCAATATTCAAGATAAGTCTTATTGAATTTTTCCTTGATATATTCAAAGCTCACAAACAAATTACCATCAAGATGCAGCAGAAAAATTTACTTAGGAAATTAAGCGTTCCAAAAAGCATTTACTTTTCTAGTTGAATGAAAACGAAAAATGGAAAAATAAGAGGAAATGAGAGAATAAATGGAACATACAAGTGAGATTAACAGAAGGAGTTCATTTATGTTGGAAATAAATAAGTAATAACGTAAAAAAAATATGAAGTATTTTCATGAAATCATTAGCACTATTGTATTTTACTAAAAAACAACAACCAGAGCCGGAAAACTGACTACGGCAATTAAGAAAACTCAACAAGACGTCCCGATGCAATCTTACGAAGTTATATGTATGGAAAACCGGAAAACACAAAAATAAATTTAAGAGGCTTATTACGATGCATTCAACATGACAACTATACTGCTAGAGGCAAATCCATATATTACGACTTCATTAAATTGTCTAAATATATCCTCTTTACTAATCAAGAAAAAAGCTG